AATGAAAATGTAATAGAAGTTGGATCTGATGTGTAGACAGTTCACATCCACTAATAGAGGGAATGGGGATATGAATTTTTTTTTTTTTTTTTTTTTTAGTTTTTGGCCAGGGCTGGGTCTGAATCTGCCACCTCTGGCATGTGGGACTGGCGCCCTACTCCTTTGAGCCACAGGCGCCACCCCTTGTGAGTTTTTTTTCTTTTTGCATGGGGATATGAATTGACAGGCTTTTCTAACTCATAAAATCTATAAATTTAGAATGCAAATGTGGATAACAAAGACATATTCTGCAGACTGCATGAATGGGGAGGGAGGATTTTCAACTTAATCTATATTACAGTGTCACTCCATCCTCCTCCCCCGAATGCCATCATTTCTTCAGGAGACAAAAAAAAAAAAAAAAAAAGAAGAAAATAATTTCCTTTTTTCAGACAGCTGTCATGTTTCTCTGCAATGTCCAATATGAACATTCTAGTTGGATTGTTCAGACTTCTAATTTACTAAGAATATAGATATGGCTCCATAATTAAGAACTATTTATAAACACTTTAACAAAATACTATTAATTTAATGCTTAACATTTTGGAGTGAATTTATACCATATGAAATGGATCTATTAGGTAGAAGAGGGAAAAACAACACAGGTCAGGCTCAGTGCCTGTAGCTCAGCAGCTAGGGCGTCAGCCACATACACAGGAGCTGATGGGTTCAAACCCAGCCTGCCAAACAACAATGACAACTACAACCAAAAAATAGCTGGGCGTTGTGGCTGCTCAGCTACTGTAGTCTCAGCTACTTAGGAGGCTTAGGCAAGAGAATCTCTTAAGCCGAAGAGTTTGAGGTTGGTGTGAGCTATGATGCCACATTACTGTACTGAGAGTGACATAGTGAGACTCTGTCTCAAAAAAAAAACAAAACCGACAGGTCATGTGACATGTTATATTGGGTTCTTGGGAACTGAGTCACATCTTACAAAGTGGATTATAAAAATTGTTACAACACCCTTGTTGGTTTTGCCTGCCAATGAAAATCTAAAAAGTACAAGGCAGAAGAGCAAAATGATTCCAGCAGAGAACTTCAACAATATAATAAACTAGGAGGAAGCCTCTTGTTAGTATAAAGTAGACAATATTCTGACCACTTAAGGAAATGCAATCTTTTGTAGAAAGAACTAGATTATTTTTCATTTCAGTAAGTAAGGTGTCTTCTTTCCACTTAATTTGCCTAAAGAGAAGATAAAGGGCTGGCCTTGTTTTAGCAACCTGTATTATTTATTATACAATCCACATTCCTTTTAACCTAAGGCAAAGATTAGAAAGAGATCCCCACCCCTGCTCCAAGTCCATCTGGACGTATAAGTGCTTGGTTATTACCTCACCTACCCACTCCTGGAGATTTGTCACAGCAAGGACAAGTCCAAACAATAACTCATTCCTCCACTCTACATTTGTGTCATAACACACAAATATAGCAATAAGAATAAATTTAAAAAATGGGGCACCTCCTCAAGGCAAATACTTCCCATTTTTATGTGTTCCCTTCTATAAGTTGTCTCTTTTCTTCAATTCATTCAGAATTTTGCTTTAGGATTTATCTTCTCAAAATACCACTTGGATGAGCTCTCTCATCCTGGTTCTCAACATGTGGGTCGTGACTCACATTAAAGGGCTGCGGCATTAGGAAGGTTGAGGAACCACTGCTCTAGTGGATCCTTTTCCCTAACAACATTCAAACAAAGCCATCCAGAGTTCTTAACATCAATGAATATGCAACTCTTAAAGCTTTTCTTTTTTTAAAAAATGTATTTATTATTTATTTATTTGCAGTTTTTGGCTGGGGCTGGGTTTAAATCTGCCACCTCCAGCATATGGGGCCGGCGCCTTACTCCTTTGAGCCATAGGTGCCACTCTAAATGTATTTATTTTGATACAATGTCTCACTTTGTCACCCTTAGTAGAGTGCTATGGCTTCATAGCTCACAGCAACCTCAAACTTGGGCTCAAGCGATCTTGCTTCAGCCTCCCAAGTAGCTGGGACCATAGGCTACCACCACAATGCCAGGCTATTTTTAGAGATGAGGAACTCTTGCTTAGGCTGGTCTCCAATTCCTGAGCTCAGGTAATCCACCTGCCTCAGCCTTCCATCGTGCTAGGATTATAAGCACCTTGCCTGGCCAACTCTTAAGTCTTTACTACCACATTACATTTCTTGAGTATTCCTTCTGTTTCATTCATTCATGCTATTTCGTATACATGTCAATGCACATTTTGTCCATGAAATTCTCCTACCTACCCTTTAAGGATTAGCTAAAGGGTTATCTCTTTCCAGAAGTCTTCAAATATTCTCCAAGACTTGAACCAGTGGTCCTGGGAACTGGAAGCCAGTCTCACCTAGGTGATTCTCTGACAACCCCCAATGGCCCATGTATTATACCCTACCTTCTTCCCACGACCAGTTAGGCACTGAATCATGCTTAACTGAGAAGGAACCTCTATCTTCTCCCACTACTGTAATACATAAGCTCTTTATTTATTTATTTATTTTCTTTTTCTGAGACAGTCTCAAGCTGTTGCCCTGGGTAGAGTGCCATGGCGTCACAGCTCACAGCAACCTCCAACTCTTGGGCTTAAGTGATTCTCGTGCCTCAG